ATATATATATATATATATATATATATATATATATATATATATATATATATAAATAAACATAATATACTTTTTTATTAAATATTATAATAAAATATTACATAAAAACAAATGAATAGATATACTCATGACTCATTTAATATATAACCATCAATAAAATATAAAAATTCATTTCATTACATGACTGATATATTCACTCAGGAGTGCTATATATGATGCCTATGTAGAGCTCTACAAATCACTCATTTATGAAGTAGTTCCATAGAAGGCAGTCACCTATGCAGGCAATGAGGCAGCATATTTTTGAAAAGGTGCCAACGAGACACCCGACATCAATGAATGGAGGAATATGGAGAAAGAACGAGGATGTGAAAAGGAGAGAAGGACTGGGATGAAAGTAAATGAGAAAAAGAGATTAGCTGGTGAAGAGATGGAGGGGGATCATTAGCCTAGCAGAATTACACTAGCTCAATATTGAATCGATGCATGAGAGATTTATGACTTGGTCCTAGCAGCCAACATGAAGAAAAATTACTTAAAGTCTTTCATCACTTAAGAAGAGAATAATCAACCACAATCTTTGCCATTCACTCTGAGGCATTAACCTTAGAGTGAAGGGGCCGCTAAGCTCGCTAACAGTTTTAAGACCCACAGTAAACCACTTTTCTGGAAAATTACTTCCTTTAAAGGGATCGTATAATTTCTTTTTTACATTTAATTTCCCCCTGAGGTCCACTTATAGCGTTCATCAAAGTTTTTTTGCACAAGCACAGTCATAATTTAGTTTTTATGACCATTTTCCATTTCCATCCTATTAGTGACCTTTACAATTGTTATGCCATTTTTTTGTTGCTGTGTGTTTATGACTTCTTTGCATGTGAAATGCAAAGGCTTTGCAAAAGCCTGTACTGTAAGTGCCGTAAAAACTGTGAAGATCTTTTTTTAATGATAGGATATGCAGAGCAGTAGGTGCTACACACAGCCAAGAAGAGCACATGGTTGGATAGATTTTACTACATTTTCCCCTCATTATTAGTTCTTCGGGTGGTCAATGAATATTTTGGTGTTTAGTAATAACACTGGCCTATCTATTCTACTTCCTTCTTCTGAGCATGTCAAGTCACTAAACACCTAATAGGCGTTGTGTGTAAATTTATGTGGATTTTTGCCGTTTCTGCAAAGTATCTTAAAGTATCTATTTAAAGTGGTAAGATGCAATTGTATTTGTGGTTTCACTAGGAGGGAGGTATCAACCAAAAACTTTTTTGGCACCAAAACACACACACACAAAAAAAAAAATCTTGAAAACCTGGTAGCAATAGGAAAACCACAGCATGACTAGAGTATACAGAGTAAGATACATAAGAGAGAAAGTTTTGGATGTACGACTGACTGAGGTAAAAACTTCAGTGGTCTGTTGGATGGTGGCAATCTTTGTCCATCCCCACTTCTGGAAGAGTCGCACACGTGTGGGATTATGCAGAGTTGCTGACGGGTGCGTACGGAAGAAAGTGGGAAAGCGCTGGCGGTTGGATAAAGCTGGAGAACTGGAGCCGTATGAAAACTACAGAGAGACCAAGAGAGGGAGACAGTAGTTAAAAAGGTGGACGGATAGAGAGAGCACACTGGAAAGCTTATTTGATACCCCTGAAAAGAACGAAACGCGAAGCAAAAGTAGTGCAAAAATATGAGTCAGATTACTGCACACACTGGAAGAAGGGTAAATGTCAAGCTAGTGAAGCCAGAAACCTGAATAAATAAGCCAATCTGTTTCTACATCCAATGTTGACGTGTCAATACTTGCTAAACACTTTCTGCTTCAGAAATAAACCTTTGCATATCAAGCATGTGAACCAGGTTGCCTGATAAAAAACATTCCCATGTGAAAAAGAAATGTGCTTAATTGTATTAAATCTTTTAAAAATTGTACTTCTAATGTAATACTTTATTTCTTAACACACTTTTGTACACTTTTAAAAAGTGCACTTTGTAAAACTTTAAACCATCATGTTTAATAATATTTTTCATGCTTTAAAGAAGTGCACTTCATTTGATGTGTTGACTAACATACTAAAGAGGTATTTGATCATTTTAACTGTTGTGTGTTATGCTATATTACATTTAATATATTTTAAATGTACTAAATTGCAACTTTACACATTAAAGTAACACTTGTCTTATTTATATACATATATACACATGATATCAACTTTCAATAGAAATGACATAAATGCTGTATTACATACTGTATTAAGATAAAAATGCACTCTAAAGTTCAGAAAATTCCATTTAATAAAATTTTAATTATAATATATTTTCATTTAATTGCAATTAACTTGCATTAAAGTGACAGAAAACATTACATTTAGTTTGCACTTAAGTATATTCTTTTAAAGTATACTATTTCTGTAACAAGAACTCTTTTTAAAAGTATGCTAAAATGTCATTCTTTTTCACAAGGGTTGATTTGCCTACACTGTCACGCAGTTATTCATTTTTCATGAGCATCTCTGTCATAATCTACTAAGAGTACAAACCCATCTGTCAAAAAAGTAACTGAAGTCTTTTGGTTTCCCTGGAGAGTTTCATAAACTCACTTTTTCCAACTTTTTGTAAATTACATGCAAACTTTTTTCACACAAGTAAACTCGTTTGATGAGAACAAAGTCAGTGTCGAGAACATTACTTTCCAAATTCCTGCTAACCTCGGCGGATACCAAAATAGAATAATTGGAAAAATTAATTATGTCAAATTGCTAAGGGTATCTTGTGTATTTTATTCCTTTTTCACTTTCACACTTTCTCATTTGGTTGTCACACTTCCTTGAGAGCCTCTTTTGACAGATTTAATTTGTCAGCTTCTTCAAGTGTCAACTACACAAAGTCAATAAGATAAAATCCAAATTCATTTTGTTCCTTGACCCAAAACACAGAGCCGCTTGTTTTGTGTAGCACTTTTGCATCAAAATCGCAAATCTGGTTGCAGTTAAACAACTGTTTTATCATTTTACCATTTTAATCAGTGTTTAATCAGGAATGTATGGAAGCCTGTTTCCGTCACAGAATAAAAAAACTAAATAAAAATGTAAAAGGTAATTTGCGGTAAATGGTAAATTCTGACTTTTTTCTTGCAATTCTGAGTTTACATGTGACAATTCAGACTTTATTTCTCACAATTCTGAGTTTACACCTCGCTATTCTGTTTCTACCACTTAATAAAACATTAAAAGGGTACTCATAATTCAGAATTTTTTCTCACAATTTTAAGTATATGTCACAAGACATTTATCTCAAAATTGTGAGTTTATATCTCTGACTTTTTTTCTCAGAATTGCGGATTTATATCTTCTTTGTATCTTCCAAATCTGGGGGGAAAAAATTTTAAATTGTGAGATAAAATGTCACAGTTCTTTATGTTTTAATTCCATGGCAGAAACAAGCTTCCATAGGAATGACAACAAACCAACTTCCCAATACGAAACTCTATAATGTTCTACAGTCAAATCCAGGTGAATGGAGAAACCAATGCTCAACGATCCAGATATAGTGAGTTCAGACAGAAATGTATACATAGCAGACACACACCACTATAAGGTTCCACATGCGTGCCGCCTCGGCCACCAGCGTAGACACGGAGCTGCAGCCCGGCATCAACACAATCTTTATGGGCTCTGTGTACAGCAAGTCATACAGCAGTTTAGTGGCCTCTCCTGGATCACACTGAAGAAAAGAGAAAAAGAACATCAAGACAACCATTAGTCTACCACCTTTGAAAAAGTTAACTCAAGCTCGCAGGATGTAAACGCTTCACCTGAGCATATCATAATCAATAAAGTATCAATGGAATCAGCACAGAAACACAGTATCTCATGGCCCAGGAAAAAAATAAACTGCAATGAATCTGTAACCAAAGACCTCTCGTGCTACAGTTCAATGTGACAAATACAACAGGGTGTGATTCACAAATGAGGGGGTGACTGCTCGCAAGCCACAGATGCAGTCACACTAAAATGGTGCCCTTGGTAACGATCAGCAGAAACACTTAATTAGGAGAGACATGCATGCTTTTATTTTTGTTAAAGTTAGAATTAAATCACACTGTGCTGGTCTCAAAAACGATGACAGTCAGAAAGCACCCACTTTGGATTTGTTTTAGTACCAGAATAGCTAATAATAATATTTTTGCCAGACATCACTCATCGAATCAGTCTAGTAAATCTCTCAAAGAGACACGTGTGGTTTCCTTGCTCCAGTCTCTCATGGCGTCTCCAGGGAGCTGAGGCGTTTTCATTCAGCACACGGCCTTTGGAGAAGCAGTCATTGAAAGGAACTGAAGACGCTTGACGTGACGGAGGCTAAAGTTAAAGTCCCCGGGGGTGAAGGTTATGCAGGTCTCTGGACCAGAATACTGAGCAACCGGCTAAAAAAAAAGAAAATGCTCCTTCTCTTCTCTGCTGTCGGACACAAGAACACTTTTGTTTTTGTTGGGTCCAACATAACGGTACACGGATGGGCTAAAACTTTAGACTTAAAGGTGGGGTAAGCGATTTTTCAAAAACGCTTTAGAAAACTGATTGGGGCCGACTAGCAAAACAAACTTGTAGCCAATCAGCAGTAAGGGGCGTGTCTACTCATGATGTTGAGGAGAGAGCGTTCAGTGCACAGGATGGACATTAGCGAGCCGAGCGACAGAAAGATAGAGATGGCAGATAAAAAAAACATAAGAGGAAAACGTCTGCGGAACAAAAAAAGGCTTAAGGCAAGAAGTATGACCCGTGTAAATATCAGATCAGCTTTCCAGCGCTGGAGAGAACTCAAGGAGTGGAAGGCCTGCGATCGGACGCCGAGGTTGCTTTGTTTCTTCTCGATAGGCGAGTAACACCGTGTTGACAAAGCGACCGTTGAAAATCATTTGAAATTTGTGTCAATACGTCATGAATAGAACACAGCAGCAGTTTTCTGCCGGGGATTTGTCATGTCGTGTCGCGCCGCATCCAGTGTAGACCATAGATATGTCTACATGATATATCTATGGTGTAGACAGCATCACTGATTATAATGAGTTCTATAGAATTTTGTCTTTGCCGCGCCACTCGCGTCCGGTGTAGACACAGTGTAACATTGGTTTTGCTTTGTTTCACAGAAGTAATCGTTGCCTGGGCTGCGTACGTATGTGTGGGGCGGAGCTATCAAAATAGGGGCGAGATCCTTTTGGGGTATGGGCGTGATTGTTTTGGTGATTTCAAATGTCAACATTGGCAACCAGAAATCACTTACCCCGCCTTTAAAAAACGGGGACCGTTTCAGTTAACAAGTTTTAGAATTCGAATTGATTTGGCTATGCCTCACAGGAAACTACTGTATCTATTCTCTATCTACTCTGTGAAAATAAAGTGCACTTAACTGTATTGACTGTGCACTTGTAGTGAACTTCAACTCTTAAAAGTATAATTAACTGTACTTGCAGATAGTATAATATTAATGAAATAAAAGGCCACTGGCATGTACTTGAGAGTTTATTATTACTATGTTTCTTAACTCACTTAAGTTTGCATTGATGGTAGCCATGTACTTCCATATTAATATATTTTTTTTCATACTATGGAAGTCAATGTCTACAGTCAACTGTTTGGTTACCAACATTCTCCAAAATATCTTCTTTTGTGTCCAACAGAAGTAAGAAACACTTTGGAACAAGTGGCGGGTCAGCGAATGATGACAGAATCTTCATTTTTGGGTGAACTATCCCTTTATAGTACATTTTAAATTGTTATGTTATAATAATCTTTGTTGTACTTTAAAGAAGTACACTTATTTTGATGTAAAGTACTGTATAACATGTAAAGTACTGTATTTTAAACTGTGGCGTGTTATTCGATATTATAGTTAATATATTTTAAATGTACTAAACTAAACAAATGTGCAATTACAAATATATTTATATATGACATACAAGCTCCAATGGAAATTACATTTATATATATTTTAGTTTATTATAAATGCTTGTTAGTACATTCTGGAATAAACTTTAACCATATTTCAAATATAACGGAATTATGAAATTACATATAAAGTACTTAAGTGTACTTAAAAGTCCAACTTAAGTGGGTCAAAAGAAGTTACACTAATTGTATCTAATATGAATTAAAACTATACTTTTTTATTTAATTGCAATTACCCTGGAATTTAATGCCTGAAAACATTACATTCAGTTACATATTATTAAATATATTTCTTTGAAAGTATATTATTTGCATATTAAGTACTCCGCTAAAGTGTATCGAACTTTTTTATACAATCAAACAAGGCATTGTCAAGCCATTTCAAATTGACAAACTTTGCTATTCTAGATAAAAACTACAGTTGATGATTACATATGAAATTCCAATTCATTTTAATTCTACTTCCATAGATTTAAATTCGAATTGCAATTCTGCATCCTGTTTTTTTTTTTCAGTTCAAAAATTTAATGTGGCCTGATCCCATTCCTTATTTCCCACAAATAATTTCCACTACTTATACTTATCTGATAAAGTCTTTTGACTTTTGAGTCATAGAAGGATATTTGGAGAATATAAGCACAGTGCATCAAATAAAGACACTGTCACATACAGCTCAAGCTGCTAGCCAGATCTGTAGCTTCGACATTGTTTACTATACAGATTCAAATGCTAAATGTCTCATCCCAATGAATCAAAACACGTCTTCCCATGACTCAGACCATGAATGAGTCTTTATCTGCTGTTCTACCTCACATTAACTTGCAAGTGTTGGTTTGTTATTTCTAAGCTGCGATTCTGCATCCCTGAACCCAGATGAGAATGAATAAAGCATGCAATGGGTATGAAAATCCTTCTCGTTACAATCTGGATACAACAGATGCCAATTAAAACAGGGAAAGCACAAGTGTCTCATCAGGGCATCGCTCTCTCTCTCTCTACCTTGGTCTCACTCTATCACGGTTAATAATTGATCAAAGTTTGCAGGCTGAGCTTTGATATAACCATGGCAACCATCTGGAGAGGGATAGTGTATCTGTGCAAGGGGGTTCCTGCAAATATCTGCTCTAAAACACACACACACACACACATACACACAAGATGGACCACAACTTCTGGCATCAACGCCTATGACCGTATCTTTGAGATTTCCATTTTTGACCACTATCATAGCCAGGGAAAGCACAAGTGTCTCATCAGGGCATCGCTCTCTCTCTCTCTACCTTGGTCTCACTCTATCACGGTTAATAATTGATCAAAGTTTGCAGGCTGAGCTTTGATATAACCATGGCAACCATCTGGAGAGGGATAGTGTATCTGTGCAAGGGGGTTCCTGCAAATATCTGCTCTAAAACACACACACACACACATACACACAAGATGGACCACAACTTCTGGCATCAACGCCTATGACCGTATCTTTGAGATTTCCATTTTGACCACTATCATAGTTTTGACCACTATCATAGCATGAACCGAAAGTCAGATGTGTTTTTATTCATTTTTATTATGAAATGTGCAATTTTGTGTCATTCTAACATAGATGTACATGCTAATGCTGTATTATTTAGTTTACCATAAATGCTTGTCAGTACATTCAGCAATACACTTTAACCATATTTCAAATACAGTAGAATTATGAAATTACATATAAAATTGCACTTAAGTCCTATATAAGTTAGTCAAAAGACGTTCAGCTAACTGAATTTAATATACATTTTATTAAAAAATATATATATATTACAATATATATTTTAAAATATAATAATAATAATTCTACTTCCTTAGATTCAAACATCAAATTTCAATTCTGTATCCTGCTTCTTTTCTCAGTTCAAATTTAATGTGGTCTGATCCCATTCCTTCTTTGTTGCTAATAATTTCCATTATGTATCTGACCGATAAAATAAAACTTACAGGTCTTTTGATTAGTGACAACAGTAATTATTACCGGTATATGTTAATGCTCTTCTCATATTTTAAGCAAAATATTAAAATTTGTTGTGTAATTCCATGCTGTTTGTATATACAGTAAATGATGCCTCAAATCATACGGCTTATCAAATAGAGCTTTGATATTACAATTTTTGCCTGGCACATGATAAAATGTGGGGGGGTGGAAAATCCCATAGGCTTACACTAAAGAAAGACCCCAAGCCATATTTAGAATATCACAGAAACTTAGCGGTGGGTTATTTTGACCCTAGCAACCAGTCACAACACCCTAGCGACCACCAAATACCATCATGTCAGCAAGATTTGCATGGACAAGCAGCCCTCGCATTTTCTTCATAAAAATCTATTTAGTCTTGGTTTACTATAAAGCAAATGTCCAAAGTTCATTTTAAATTTGACATCATAAAGGAAGGAAAAAATTTGAATTCTTAGAAGATCTGTGTTCGGCTGTCAGAGCAAGGCAGAGGTTATAATAACACTCATTTATGAAATAAATATTTATCAAATGTCAAATGAAATTGGAATTTTGAGGTAACTTTTTCTATGCAAACATTGCTCTGTGTGATAATTGGCTATTTGAGAAAGATTAAAAGAATGCCCCAAACATGTCTGAGATTCTTTGAACAATAATTAAATGCAAAACCCACATCAAATTTGATTTTCTCCCTTTGTAATTACATTTCTGACAGCCGAAAGCAATTTTGATAAGAATCTCATCCAGGTATGAAGTGCTCCCCAATCAAGAGGAAAAGCTCAAAATATCTGTCGGCTTAAATGTCAACGAGTCTGAGCACTTCACACCTGCTCTTCCATCTCCACGGCATACTAACACATGACATTTATACAATGTCACACTTGGCCCTTCTGATATTGCATTCTTCTACTTGTGCACCTGCAATAAGCCTTAGATTTTTATTAAGATTAATGCTAAATTAAAAGAGACTTGAGGCATGGGTGGAATGGCGACATTTCTAGAATGCAGTTAATGACAACTGGAATTGTACATAGCATTTTCATTAAATCATGAATTAAGGTGAATTAAATCAAGATTATTGCAGTTCTGTTCATATTACTCGCTTTTGTATGCTAAATTGCTTGTGCTTTTTGTCATTTGAAAGTCACTTTGGATGGAAGTATCAGGTAAATGATTAAACGTACCCTGATAACCAAACTTGGCTAGTATTTTGAAGTATGTAAAAAGGAAAAGCACAATTAAACCCTTTCGTCCTATTTTTTTTTTTTTACATAATACATACTACAATCATTACGTCATTTAAAAATTAAAGTTTCATAAAATTTCAGTTTCATTTTTATTTATTGTATTTTTCCATCTTTCAAATTTTACCCCATATTTGACCCCAAAATATTTTATATTTACAAAGGCCCTTTATATGTAATTTTCTCTTTTCCACACAAATTGTGTAACTCGATCAATAAAATTTTATTTTTAGCATAACGCATTTTGGGATCACATCTCATTAGGATATTAAAAGATATATACGTAGAATAAGGAATTTATCTAATTATGGCATGAAATACACTCAAATATTTCAGCAAGTATATTCAGTAACTTACTTTGTACGCTCTTTGCATAATTAAGTATTCATGTGCATTTTTTTGTAAAGAAAAGACTTTTAATACAATAATCATGTGTAATTTAAATATATATATATTATTTAATTAAATAAAAAATAAAAATTGTTCTATCTCTAAGGGCTCTATCTTTCAAATTTGAACCCATATTTCAATAAACGGTTATGGACTTTCAAATTTGACCCAACAATAAAGGCCCTTTAGATGTAGTTTTCTCTTTTCCACACAAATTGTATACCTCAATAAATATTATTTTTCTTAACATAACACATTTTGGGATCAGAAGAAATATCCCTAATACACCCATTGTATCCTAAATATTAGTACCTAAGATTTATAAATGCTTTTCATTGTGGGTCAAATTCAACTCAAGAATCACAGGTGCAGATGCAGTTTCTTAAGCCAATAGAAGGTTTAACGAACTAACTGGGTCTACAATGATTATCGTCACACATTACAGATTATTGTTACCATTCAACAACACTCAATCCTGAGTGGTCAGACAGGTGCTGCAGATACACAGGAGTCTGCAGAAGGACCTCCTTATCCTTACAAGATCTACAGGGATGCAAGTTTGTTTGAACTGTGGTTTCACTGGTGGCTGTTGCCATGCCAACCCTCCTCTCCCTGATTCTTCCTCTATATTGAGTGCGATTGCAATGCAGAGTGCGGTTCACCAATCAGAACCATGATACAACTCATCTCTGTCCACTTAAAGCACTCTTTAACCGTTTCCTCACCTACAGGAGCTCAGCATCGTCACACCACACTGGGAAACTAAACTGCCCCGCTTTGAACTTCTGAAAGTGCGTATGCATTGGCAGTAAGAGAGATCTCACATATTTGCACATATTTACTATCATGCGTTTTAGATATCAAACCAGCACTGACATATGTGAGGATATAAATGGTTTAATGGTTTGACAGCACTGTTATTTGTGGCTGCTGACAGAACTGAAACTCAGGACAATCACCTTTCCACAAAAGGCAGAAAAATTCTCTCTCCACTTATGCATATTACACACAAAAAAATCCTTTTTAAAAATAAATAAACAAAATACACTGAGGAATCCACTTTGGAGGTGATCTTGGAAAACTCTGCAACGCTAAAGAAAAACATAAGCATTTATGGTGCATGAGTATTTTTAGGAAGCCAAATTACTTCATGCAGCTGAAGCCTCACAGGCTGTTGATAACAGCCAAGTGCAGTGAGTAGTGAAATATTAATGTACCAACAACTGCAATGTCAACTTGACACCAACTCCTGAATCTCAAGATACAATCACTGCCACTACAGTGAAGCACCTGCAAAACACAGATAATTTCTACCATCTTAAATTAACATCTGGTTGTTTCAGTCCTTGAACGTGAAATACTTGAATACATTAACAGAAGGTAAAGAGGGCAATGACATTTCTTCTTTCTTAGCAAAAGCCCCTAAAAAGTATAACATTCATTCCTACATGGTTGAAAAACACTATTGCTGATGGCGTAATGCAATTAAACTAGTTAAGATGCCAGTGGGATTAGGAGACTAAACACATACAGAATAAGGAATTTATCTGCAGTAACAATGCCATGAGATACATTAGAACATTTCATCAAGTATTCAGTAACTTACTTTGTATGCTATTGCATAATTAAGTTTGCATATGTGCTAATATCATGCAAAATTAAAAACACTACAAAAGCATGTGCTGGCAAGGTTATTAACTACAACTGAAAATAAAACCATAAAAATATCTTTGAAATAAATGCCAACTTAAATTAAAAAAAAAATTTTTACTAGTCGCCAAGGAAACATTTCTCATTTTAGTTTAGTTTAACTTGAAGTACCAAAATAATTCAAAATAAAACTTAACTAAAAATTAAAACTATATAGACATAAAAAACTAAAACTACATAAGACAAAACACAACAAAATTACTAAAACTTTAACTACACTTCAAATGAAAACAGTAAATGTAAAAAATAAAAACGGTTTCAAAATAATAAAAACTATAATAATACCTAAATTATACTAAAATAACACTGGTGCTGGGCCAGTTTGTTTTTGCTTTAATTTTGGATTCATTTTGCACATTTGTGGGAGCTGTTCTGATCATTTCACACTGAGAAACTGAGATTTCACACTGTAATCACTGACCCAGATGAAGTATTATGTCAACTGCAATTTTGAACGCAATTATATGATTAAAAGCAAAACAACAAGTACTTAATATTTATATTATTTCAATATATATATATAAACCTTAATGTATTATGGGCACTGTAAATGTAAAATGTTAAGTGCTTACCATACTGTCGTAATGAATGAGCTCCAGCTCGTAGTCCGGCAGAATGTCGGTCCGGTTGTTCACGAGATCTAAAGCCATCTGGGCTGCGGGGAGACACGCTTGACCACCGGGCCATCCTCCACTCATGGGAAACAGAGCTCCGATGTACAGTTTCTTCTTACCTGCAACCGCACACGGCCAGGAGAGAAAGATAAGCAGTGCGTAAAGGAGAGCCAAGCTTCGCCAAACTCTCCCCAAGGTCCTGACCCTCTCCGTGGATGCCATCAATATCCAATTCAATATTTATACGTTTTTAGCTTATATTGTGCGGATGTGTCCGAAGCTGAAAGTATCCGCACGTGCGATAAGTCTAGTTTCAAGTAACAGAACCGTGCACGGAACGCGTAAAAACAGCAGTGCTGAACACTTTAAGCGCAATATGAAATTACAGACGGATGCACGTTGAGATTTATATGTTAGAATACAGCAGTTACAATTTCATATCTGATGTCAGTCAGCCATTGCTACGAGCTCTTAGCGTCGTAACACAGTTATTGCGTCAAGACATCGGATCTTGCGCGCTTTCTTGATATATATATATATATTTCTGTCCATCCATCAATCAATAGCTGAGGCTATTAGGCTTTAGACTTCTATAGGAAAACATAGAAAACAAACACATACAAAAACAAATCTAAACCCTCTGACAATCAAGTCTCTACAAGCCTTATACAGTGGATATAGAAAAGAATCACAGACCCTTTAAAATAATCACTTTTTGTTGCTTTGCTGCCTGAAATGAAGACAAACACAGTTTTTGTTTTATCCAGCTATTTACTCCGTGCAACTTATAATATCCTAATGAAAGATATAACACCAATATGTCAGAAAAAAATAATAAAAAACAGAGCCAGAGTTGCAAAAAGGATCACCCCCTTGTGTTGGGATTGGTCTCTACTAACTTTGCACATCTAGACTTTGCAATGTTTGCCTACTCTTCTTTGCAGAACTGCTCAAGTTCAGTTAAATTTGAGTGACCGTATGATTGTGGACTGCAGTCTTCAAGTCATTCCACAGATTTTCAATGGGGTTTAAGTCTGAGCTCTGACTAGGCCATGCAAGGACATTCACCTTTTTCTCCTTCAACCACTGTGTGCTCAGTTTTGCTGTGTGCTTTGGGTCATTGTCATGTTGGAAAGTAAACCTTCTTCCCATTGACAACTTACTGGTAGAGGGCAGCAGATTTTCCTCAAGAATTTGACGGTATTTTGCCCCATCCATTTTTCCTTCTATCCTGACAAGTGCTCCAGTCCCTGCTGCAGAGAAACACCCCATAACAGGATATCACCACCTCCATACTTTACTGTAGGAATGCTGATATTTGGATGGTGAGCTGTATTGGATTTCCGCCAGACATCGTTTGGTGCTGATGTCAAATAATCAAATTTTAGTCTCATCTGCTCTTTCATGTGACAACAAATTCTCCCATACAAGCCACATTTGAGGAGAATTTGTTGTCACATGCACACAATGAGTTTACAAGTCATTTTTAGTAGGGGGTGATCCTTTTTCCAAATAATTGATTCTGTTGGGGGGTTTTTTCTGACATGTTGGTGTTATATCTTTCACTTGGATGTTAAGTTGCACTGAGTAAATACAGCTGGATAAAAACAAAAACTGTGTCCGTCCTTCATTTCAGCTGCAAAGCAACAAAATGTGATTATTTTAAAGAGCAGGTCATATGGTACACTTTTAAAAATAAAGGTGCTTCAAAAGGTTCTTTAAGCGATGCCATTGAAGAACCATTTTTGGTTCCACATAGAACCAGGCACGTGCACTGTTAGGGCTCAACCTGTGCAGAGCACATGCCCTTACACTCCGAAGTGCCCTTTTTTTGGTGATGGTGTTTTTTTTTCCTTCAATAAATCAATGATATTGGTCACCCTTTACATCTGTCTGTCTACTTTACAAATATTTAGCTAATGAAAGGTATTAAAAAGCTTTAGCTTGTGACTAAATCTTGTTGGATCCGCTCAAACTGTCAGTAAACCTCATAACTCCACCCCCTCTATCTTGACTGAATGAACTGAAGTTCCACAGCAGCTGAACTAGCTCTGCAAGGGTAAATAAAGATCTTGTTGTTTGAATAAGTACAGCGTTTTCTTTACGCAAGAAACACTATGTCTATAAAGGTTTATAACTTATGTATTTTAAACTGAGCACCGCGCCCATATAACTACAACAAGCACCTGCTGATGAAAACGTAACACCGCCGTTTTAATGATGGACAAAATGCACATTTGCACACATTCGCTGGTAAAAAAAGCAGAGAAAAATTTTATTGTGTACATACTGTATATATATATCTTCAAAATATTGGATAAGAAAAAATTAGTAGTACAAAAATAAAACAACGCCAACATTACAAAATATAACATTAAAAAGTGTATAAACCACTCGTTTTTCTAAAAAAAAAACATTGTCCAACAGCGACACCAGCAGGTAAAGTTACAGTGGGAGTCAGAGTCTCTCTCGCCTCCCCTGAGCCCATTGAGTTTTAACAGACCAACTAAAGAGTGCAGTGGGGGGGTACTTGAGAATGTATGGGGGAAAATCACGTGAGAGGAGGCAACACCTCCATCATGATATGATTGGATATGACTGGTTATGTTCGGTTGTGATTGGTTCATGCGATAAATCCCGCCTATTGTGTTCATGTGCGTTCTATGTTCGCGAATCAGTCTGAATGAACAATCTTAATTTATTAACATTTAATCATATTATATGGTCGCATGGCTAATTCATGTTTACTCTGTTAATATGCATGTATTCTAGCTAGCTAATTTTTTTATCTAGTATTCTATACTCTCTGCTCGTCTTCAAATGTATAAATGTAGTAAAACATGGTTTTACTTCAGTAATGTTGTTGTAACCAAAAAAAGCTTTACAGAATCAAATCACTGTGAAATCTTCATATTTTATCATGCATAATGTAATACATTATATATATTACATAGCTAAAAAAAAAGAGTACACAAGAGCAATTCACAAACACAGGACCCTACAAATAATAATGTCAACTTCCCAGGAGGCCCATTGTTATAGCCTACTTTACATCTAGAAGGCCAGATATCCTTTGCACTGTATAATGCCAAGCTATCATACCATGTCCTTTTTCCAGGCCAAGTCTATTAGTCCTGACTTCCACCTTTTGAGATTTAGAAATTAAGCAGTCTTTAAAAGCCATATCATATCTCATTATAATAGCGTATAACATGTAGACCTAAGAAACCCTATATATATATATTATTAAAAGTGAATAAATCTAATTTATCTAATTAAGGGGGGTGTGCCCTTTTTCAGTTTCAGCACATGCCCCTCAAAAAAGGTCTGTGCACGGCCCTGCATAGAACCATTCAGTTAAAGGTTATTTAAAGAACCATCTCTTTCTTACCCTTTTTGTAATCTGAAGAACTGTCTTTCACCACAAAGAACCTTTTGTGAAACAGAAAGGTTATTCAGATGTTAAAGGTTCTTTATGGAACCATTTCGATAAAAAGGTTCTATGGAATCGTGAAGCACATTTATTTTTATGAGTGTATTTTAAAGTGTCCTAATATTGTATTGGAGTCCCCTACAACAGGTTTAAATGCATCTAAGATCAGAAAACATTGTCATTTTCTCAGAATATACATTTAATATTAGAATCATTTTTCAATTATTTCGAAACGATTCGTACAAAGCAGTTCTGGGCTTAAAGTGCCCCTATTCTGCCATATTTAAGGTTGCTTATATTGTTTTATGAGTCTCCTAAAACAGGTTTACATGCATGCAAGGTCAAAAAACATGTTAGTTTTCTAAGAAAATTTGATTTAATTTTACCTCATTTCTAAATGATTCGTAAACGACTCGTGCGAAGCAGTTCAAAGAATCAGTGTCTCTAAACCCCTCCTTTCCGTGAGCCCTCACTGCTGTGATTGGTCAGATGGCGCAGTCCTTTGTGATTGGTCCAGAGCCCGTAGAGAGCTTGGCTCTGGATTGGTCTACAGCGTACACGTGTCGGTAACGAAACGCCCATTGTCATGACGGAATGATAGCCCTTCAATAGACTTGTCAATACATAGAAAAGATGGTATCAATTGTACCTTACCAATTCGAGCCGGAGTCTGATGATGAAACGGTTGAACTGGCTGATCGACAAGAGACTGATTCGCAAGCACGACTGGAGCAGGACGTTTCTGAGTGGTAAGTGCCAAGTGTTAACAAGCTTGTGGTAATTATAAGATGTGATAAAACAAATTTACTCTCACAGCGTAGGATACAGCGTCTTCTCGACCTGATGTTAACCACACGGAAGTTTTACTGTTTGTGGGCGGGCAAGTTGGAGACGTAGAATGTGGGCAGACATCATGCAAATGTGTTACTTCGTGACGTAGAGCCGTAACAGAATAAAGGAGAAGGGTATAACTGCAGCCTGGAGATCTCCAAATGGGGGTGGGAACTCCAAAACGGGGTGGGAGCTCCAAAATAGGGCGTGGCTTCCTCCCATTGATAGACAGGCACATGATGCGCATGCGCACTTTCCCCCCCAATCCACTTCAGTGCAAACTCCGCCCCACAGCTGATTCTAAAGATTTTATTGGTTGTGTCAATTAAAGTGTTGATTTCCTACACTATGCTACAAAAAATGCTAACCCCTAAACCTACCCCACACACCTGACCCTAACCTTAACTAGTGAAATTGACTGCACGGCGGGATTGGCGCTGAATAGCGTGGTAAAGAAAGATGCAGTTCAGGTGTTAACAGTTAATAAGATTATGCAATATGAGATCGTTCCGTAACTCCCCAATAATGGCACCTTTTTAGTTACACCCAGTGTCACTACCCCCTCCTACCCTGCGAATTTCGAGCCCCGGGACGCCCCCGCTGCTTAGAACAAAGTGATAGAGTAAAATCATTCCCCTGCGCTGCACTGGGACGGCTCGCGGGAGAGCTCGTGGGTGATTCCCGTTTATATCATTAAGCAGATTTTCAAACTCCAGTCCGAACACCACTGGCCACGAGCTTTGTGCTCTGCTCTCACTGAGAATATTTACTTATATAGCATATTTTATTTTAGATGAACTAGAAGCAATGTTCATTTATAAAGTTTTATTTTGAAATGTAAGTCAATAACAATTG